CCGTTGGTGTGGCATGGATTGGAATCAGCAACAAAGTTTCCAGTAGCACACGGTGTACCATCATACTTGCAAACATCAATAATGTTGGGAAAACACCAAAAATGTGACATTTCTTGAGTAAAAAGTTTGCTTTCTGTTCTCCACGAACGTAGACATAGTCAGCCGCATATATCACCTTATTTTTAATTATTTCATTTAACTTGGAATATTTAACGTCGCCGGAAGAATATTTAAGCCCATGGAAATTCTTCTCCAAGAACGCAGTTTTCTTGTCTTTAGTATTAATGTAGAAAAGGTTGCGGAGGTGTAAAGATGTAATGACTTTTCTTGAAACCAATTTCGATACATAGTTCTTTAGGTACGAATAATCCGTCAACTGTAAAGCCTTGAATGTCAACAAACGCGATCCTCATGATGTCTGATGCGGAACTGAGAGTCCTTCGTTGCTTACGAGATGGTTTTAATAACTTCGGTGAGGGGAAGTACTCGATTAAGCAGTCATGTATAATGATGCAATAGGCCTTGGTGTTGGTTGGAAAGCCAGTATCGGCTTCGATATCCAATCTAACATCAACAGTTGATGATTTCATGGTTTCCTCTTGTTTGGAACAGTCAATAACAAACAAAGCGCGATTTTTAAAAGCGGTATAATCTAAAAGACATCTCTTCAGAGGAGAAGAAGAAGTTGTATAGCTGGTTTGAAAGTCGCTATAGTTGAAATGAGCTTCAGTAAAGTGATTGTTTGCAAAGTCCAATTGCATACGTTCGTTGGGATAGTATTCACCATTTAAAGATACTCGAATACTAGCAGCATTCACGTGATCAAACAGGGTAGGGTCTGAGGTTGCGACGTCACGTTTACCGGTTTGGAAACATACTATAATGAAACGTGGTCTTTCGATTGCGGTGCTAGTTTTAACTGACCATATTTCTCTTCTCGCATCTGCGGTAATTGCAGGCAGTTCATTCAGATCCATTTTCTAAATGGTATAAGTATCGGCTTATCAGTTTGAATAGCTTTCAAAAGTTGTTCTTTCACATCATCACTCGGGTAAATATGTTTGATTTTCAGTTCCATGCTTTCAATAGTTATTTTCGCTGTCGTCGTCGTTCCAGTTTTTTCCTTGATAATGATACAATCGTTATCGTTTCTAGCTCTCACAAATCTGAGAGTTTGTCTGCCACACGTAATCATAGGATAATCATTGAAAATGTTGAAAATATGTTTAAGCGGGCATTAGCAAGCTAAAAGACTTGTTATGTGTTGACGCCATTATAGGTGTTGAAGGATAGTTCCATCCAGCTATAGCCATATGATTTGAGTCTTCCTCACTGTAACATACGTAAGCTCGGACAGTACTTACAATACCAGGATCACGTACTGTTTCAACTTCTCTAGCGGATTCACTGTAAGTGCAAGAGTCAAATAGGAAGGCACAAAGTTTGGAGCTAAAGATACATCTCCTGCTCCTCCTCCTCCAGTTATTTCAACTTTCCCTTTGATAGATAGAAGGGAAGCGTTCATTGCAAAGAACGAATCTACTTGATTGATGCTAAATTCCACAACATCATTACAATTAAATGACTTGATGAACGGCGTATAAGATCTATACTCAGCCTTGCGAATAGATTCATCGAATGCTGGAGATCGATATAGATCAAACATCGGAGAAGTATGTGATGCTGCCTCCTCAGTTTTTCTCTTTTTGTACATGATTCTTGTTGTTGTTGACATGATATCCAAGTGAGCGTAGAAACAGGATATTTGATGTAGTTAGTAGTAGATGTCGTCGCTTAGGTGCTTGGGGTAATACTGAAGTTGCCTTGGAAGCACCACTATGTCTTATAATCACTAATCCCATCTGCGCTTCGCTCTCAACTCCAACACAAGAGTACTAGTTTCACCTTGAAAGTTTACAGGACGACCGTCTTGATCTAAAGCCAACACTGTGATGTTGGTTATTTCTTGTTTCGGTATAACAGGTAGATATAGTAAATTTACAGGTGTTTCGACTATAGCGTATCCAGGATCGGCTGTCACAGCAAATTCGTAGATCGTGTGTGCAGGCGTGTCTCCGTCAAAGGCTCCCGACGTAATGTTAGCATCAAAGTGTATGGTTGATACTTTTATTATGTTTACAGGTAAATCAGAAGAATGCTTTTGACCAGGATTAAGAACTTTTTTCGAGAATCCCAATAGATGTCCAAGATTATTCGGTTCTGTAAAAACTATTTTATAATACTTGCTAAAGATTTCACATTGCAGTGTATTATTGTTAGGTTTTAGAGAAAAATAATCATCCGGAGGAGCAACTTCATTTTCAAGATTCATTTGCGTTCGTATAAATGTTTCTATGTCGGTAATTTCATAACAACCTGTCGGAAACTCGATGACTTTTAATTGACCACCACCACCACCTATCCGGTCGATATAATAAAATTTATCTCCTTTTTCAATATTCGGTATGGAATTGTATGAAGTAAAAGACCTAAGCGCCAATTCATAATCTTTTTTCGGATCCAACACTATCGGTGTTGAAGGACGAAATGAAAATATATGAGTAGTGCTATTGACTCTCAACAACTGCGACATGATGAATGAAAAAATATAGCTGTGTACTAAGCATTTATTCAAGTTTTTTTTTTGTTTATTTTCGAATGGATAATTTACAGAAATAACAATTTGCTTGAGCAGTAGCCGGTCCATCCCAATGTGTTGTCCAATCAGGTCTGTTGTAGTGAACATAGCATGGAAGTCGTATTTGAAGATCAAAATTGGATGTGTATTCTGCAGGCAGTTTGTGCCATATACTCAACAATTCTGCAGGTCTCACATTGCTTATTAAATATTCCAGCGGCGGAATATTCTTCTCAAACTCTTCTAATGTAAATTCCGATAATGTTTTATTATCCATCGTTGTTGTTGTTATTGTATAGAAATTTCAAACACAATTGTCCGCAATTAACTTGATTATAAGTTTGGTAAGGATCGTTGT